TTGTCAGAGTAAATCAAACTGGGAATTTTCAGAAAATTTCAAGTATGTTCTATCTAAAAGAGTTACCGGGTAATCATATTCACTGAAGAAATGTCAATTTATATATATGTTTACATATAGATTTTGCAAAAGCTGAAAATTAAATTTTTGAAAAAATCTTGAGAAATTGTACTGTTAATTAGCACATAGATGAACAAAAATCAACAAGTTATTATAATTAAATAAACCTGAATATTGCTTGGTTTGCCTGTTTACAGGAATATTTTAAGCTGGCAAGGCAAGCTTTAAGCTATAAAGTAATGTAGGTGAAATTTCTTTTGTAATGTACTGTATTCATAATAGATACCGATCTCCCCCATACAGAGCTTGAGGTCCAGAGTTTCCTAACTGAGCAGAATTATAAAATATAAAATGTATTTCACTGTATATCTGGTTCTGACACATTATATATGCTTAGTTGCATAAAAATCCTGATGCTGATTTGTAAATCAAACTAGAGTTTTATTTGTACAGTGATTAGAAAGGCTTAGGGACTGTCAAAAAGAACCATCAGTAAATCCAAGGAATTGTAAAGGAAATACTGTGTCTGACTGATAAGAAGAATATCCAAGAATTGGTCATTGTTTTGAACTTAATATCATGTGTCTCAGTTCTGACCGACAATTTCCATTGCTCTATTTTGTTGTAAATATTTTCTACAGTATCACCACTAGATCTAATGCTTGTACTATACATATTTCTGTTGTACCACATAAAACTACATTTTTTTTGTATTGTGTTTTTATCTTTTTTTCATACATCTCACACTGTTTTTTATTTTACAAATTCAATTGAGCAGCAACTGTTTAAATGCTCATATATTGCTCCTGCCCAAACTCATGCAAGAATATTATTCAATATCTGTGAACATACGTACAAGATCGATCATCCCCAGAACTGAGTTTATATCAATGAAATGGCTGATTCATCATAACTATCATATTTATGTCTTTTAAATGTATGTGCAATATGCATCTATTTGCTGTGTTTTATATTGTAATATATATTGTAATTCTTTTTCCAATTGCAATACCCTCAGTCTCTTTCAATCACTCAAAATTGAATACAATAAAATTGATTATGTATTACAAAGGTTGTTTTCAAGTATGCTGCATTCAATCATGAAATTATCAGTAAACCAAAAATTGAAATGTATATGCAACTTAAAAACTACCTACATTTTTATGAAAAGTTTTTCCCCCATGTTAAAAATCCATCTAGATCATCTACAGTAAATCTTGTGCTACAAACGATAGCCATACATGATCATATATATACATCTCCAAAGTCATGTTTTGTTATCGTCATACTGGGTAAATTATTATATCATCATAGCTTCTGAGCATTGAGTTTTCTTTGCACAGCTATTGCATAAAATTCTGAATTATAAAAGATTTGTCATACATAAACAGTTTTTATTAACAGTTTGATATAAACAGAGAGAAAAAAATGATAGATGTGCATTATTTGAATCTATATGAGTAAAAATGGGATGTATACCCCGGCTGAACACAGGTGTGCACTGTCAATAGTCACATTGTTGAAAAAATGTCATGCACAAATGGGAAGGAAGAAAAGACATCCACATTTATATGCAAAAGATGAACATAAATTATTTCACGAGTTTGCATGTGTCAATTTCTCCTACTAAATGACGAAGGTATCCAACACAAAAAACGTGACATAAAGAACCAGAGTCACAATATAAGATAAAATGTGTTGTGGATAGCGCGATCACCTCAGTGGTCTGTACATGTACTCGCTGTCAACTCTACACTATTACACTGGGGCAAAACTATAACAGCCCGCATAGGGGCAATACGCTATAGTGACTAATATCATCAAGGCAATACGCTATAGTGTCTAATATCATAAAGGGGCAATACGCTATAGTGTCTAGTATCATAAAGGGGCAATCCGCTATAGTGTCTAATATCATAAAGGGGCAATACGTTATAGTTTCATATCATAAAGGGGCAATACGCTATAGTGACGTATAACATAAAGGGGCAATACGCTATAGTGTCTTATATCATAAAGGGACAATACGCTATAGTGTCAAATATCATAAAGGGGCAATACGCTATAGTGACTTGTATCATAAAGGGGCAATACGCTATAGTGTCAAATATCATAAAGGGGCAATACGCTATAGGGTCTAATATCATAAAGGGGCAATACGCTATAGTGACTTATGACATAAAGGGGCAATACGCTATAGTGTCTTATATCATAAAGGGGCAATACTCTATAGTGACTTATGTCATAAAGGGGCAATACGCTATAGTGTCTTATATCATAAAGGGGCAATACGCTATAGTGACTTATAACATAAAGGGGCAATACGCTATAGTGTCTTATATCTAATATAGGAAAGTACAACAGCAAACGATACAAATAAAGGCAATATATTCTCTCATTAAGAATATGACACTCCAGTAAATTGGTAATTACCTTTGATCTACAGCTTATCTCTCATGTTTCCATCATAACATTAATGGTTTAACAAAAAAAATGTGCATGCATGCATAATAACACAGTTCACAAACTGTCGATGTGTCTGATTAAATATGAAGAAGCAGTAAATTATCCTAAGTGCCCATCTTAAGTTTTAATTGAACATTTACACCATTTAATTTGATTTGTCATAGGGTTTTTTGTCACTTGTAATTTCTCAGCAGATTTTTATTCATATGCTATATTTGCTAATTAATTTGGTGTTGAACTGAAATAACAGACCTGTGTGTTAATTGTAATAATTAATTTGACAATAAAATAGTTCAATTAGCAACCACCTACAACTGAATACAGAATAGAAATACATCAAATACACAAAAGGTAACATTTCTGATATATTACCTTACCCATAAAATATGACACAGTAATCATGCAGGTCTAAGTTGTATAGAGCAAGTCTTCATGTGCCTCTAATAGATTCATCAGGTTCACTTGCTCCAGTTAGTTCTGCTTTATATATTACTGTAAATGGCTACCGAGTGGTATTTTGGTGGAGTTTTAAGTCATGCATGTTTTATTTACGACCATAACCTGTATCTGCCTCCACAGACGTATACACATAAAGCTCGCTTCCTCCTACAAAAGCACTGGGTGACAGTTTATAGCCGAATCTTTTATGCTAGGCGATTATCATTTTTCCTTTTTACTGTAGCAAATATGTTTATGGGTGTTTCAATACGGCAACAAAAAGAGCAACCAATGTAAGTATACGGAGATTGGAACGTGTTAAAACACCGCCAGAATAAACCTCCACACTAGTGTACTATGTACAGGAAGTAGACAGTGGGTAAAAACATGTTCATCAACTGATTTACATCTGTATTACAAAGCTGGTAACACAATCGCTGAATGTCATCACAATAACTGTTATGATTCTCAATAATTTGATAAGGATCTTTTCTGACTGCATGTAAACAGCTGAAGGTTTATCCCTCCTGCTCCTCTTTAGAGTGGTGTGGTCTGTGTACTCCCCCCTCCTGTCTGACTCTCACCCCCTTCTAAACACCATCTCTCTGTTATCACAGGGTTCATCTCTCTCTAACAACTAACTCGACAGCTGTATCATGTATAAATACATGTACCTACATTCCTACAGCATTTACAACACTTATCAAACCCCTCTGTCACACTCATTATATAAACCAGCCAATGAGTTTAGAATCAATAAAGAACATTTCCACTTGACTTTTTTTGTCCTCTGTGAAATGGTGTCTTATAAATGAACAGATGCTGAATCTCTAGCTACGGATGCTGGGATCACATGGCTGATCCTGTGTGCACCTCCAGCTCTATGTGTCCTGTCTTTTTCTGTTCTTCGATACCCACAAGATATCCCCATTCAGGACACGAAGCATAGATTAATGCAATCAACATGTAAAGTTGTTCATAAGTAAATTATTTCTGTACATTATACACAGGTCCAACTTTGGCTAAAAAGTTAACTCCATATTAATTAAAATTTCCTATATTCGAAATTCCAATTTAGATTTTAAAATCTTAGTTCAACAATCAAAAATTACTAGTTGACAATGTAATAGTCGAGTCATACAGTGAGGAGAGAATGGATCTTTGTTTATCTTATCCTTCTTTCCTAGAAATATTTTTATTTGGTGAGTGAGGTAAAGATTCTGATGTAATTTGTGCAAAAGAAGGTAAAAAAGGGTAAAAACTTTAAAAAAAGAAATGACACAATATGTTTTTATTCTTCTATGTGCACCTTCCAGCTCATTTGAAAATTACAAAATACCATAATAAGGTTTTCATATCAATAAACTTGCTATTAAATCAGAAAGAAATTGATAGACACATGTTTGTTTAGATTGCATATGAACACAGGGGGAATAGTGGGGGGGGGGGGGAGACTATATAAAAGTATTTCATATATACTGAGCTATATTCGTTTGCTGGATAGCCCAATGCAAACAACTCAGTAGTGAAGCGGACGTAAAACCTATCAATTAACCAATCAATCGATCAATACTGAGCTATGATAAATACTATAATTTCCACATATGCATGTCTTGCATACAATTTCTGAAATAAGAAAAACATATTTAAGACTTTCCGTTCATATTCAGGACTTTCCGTTGAGCCTTTAGATAATGGTTTTTGTTTCCTTACTGCCTAAAATTAACTTTGGACTCTTTGATTTGACAGGATCTGTTAGAGTGTTAAACCCTCAAAATATCAGGGAATACATTATTAGACTGTTATTGTTATACAAATGTTAAATGACAAGGGTCAACTGACAGTCCTGATATTGCTGTGGCATGCAAGTTAATCTAGTATAGACATCCAAAATAATTATTTATGAAAATATAATACTATATAGTTTTTCTCTTTAGAGCACACAATGGGATGATGAATAGTTAACTTGGCCATGGATGGTATCCAGTAACAATAAACTGTATTATTTCAGATTAATATCATTATAAGAGACTTACAGCTGTGTGAGATTGTTCAATCCTCTGAAGTCGTCTGCCGTTATAGATGAAATTCCATTGAATTGAAGTTCTCTGTAAGACAAAATATTATCACATGAATTGAAGCAATGAATGTTAACACAAGTTATAGAGCTGCCACCTTTTTCTCAAGCTGTCCTGTTTGTTACAGGGTATCACTGAATCACTAGTTGACATTGAGTTAAGCCAATGGCTTTTTGTGATGTATGATCAATTGTTTATATAAATGGGTTTTTTCTGGAATACAACAACAAAATTATCGTTATCTTCAACATTTCATCAAAATACTGATGTTGAAAACTTCAGCATTAAAATAAAGATCATATCGAATAATGTTATTAGTTAACTGTTTTAGTGTTGCCAATGTCAAAAGAAATTAAAGAAATTTTAAAATGACACAATTTAATCATTATAGTCATGTCTGTTCAATGTATTTAATGAAAATATCATTCGCACTAGAAATCAATCAATTGAAATAACAAAGTAAGTATCTACAACGAAATATCACTGACTGTTTTATCTGCAATACCCTGTTTATATGACCGATACTGTACAGTAGGCCTACCCCTAATGTCCGTGATAGTATGGCTTCATCAACCATGGAACACGATTTGACAAAACGAAAACCGTAATTCAATACCATACAAACAACCAATTCGTGTAAAATTTCAACTCTAAATACATAAAAGAGTTCTTTTGTGGCAGCTACTTTGTGTTGGCATATGTAAACAGTAGTCAGTTTGTGTACATACCACGGTCGAGGTAGGATTTCGAATTCAACAGGGCCCGTAACTCCAATACACAACCTAAATAACAGGTATTATTTTACCTGCTTCATTGTTTTGACAGCGATCTATATTTAATTTACACGTTATACTTGCAGTGGAACACTGTTCAATCTGTAGATGATGAGGTTAATAATTGAGAAGTGCTACAATAGTCATGTGAGTTGGTTTATTTGTGTTAGTTGTGGAAAGTTATTGAAAGAGTTGGTTTTAGTTACTTACAGTCGAGTGACGAAGACGGGTAGATCCCGGGGAACTTCAATCAGTCCCAACTTAGAACAATCAACAAGATTAAGGAGACACGAACATGCTGAAGCACACATGTGATTCTCCCCTGCCACATTGTGAAGGAGGAGACCCTCCAAAACAAACGCTGTAAAGGCAAAATACAACAACACGGCCGCCATATTGGTTTTGGGCATAAGCCCAGCACACAAAAAATCTGCCTTTTGCAGCCGATATGAGGAGGTCACCGGTCCACAGGTTCACATGGATGAAAGATCGACATCTTCGTTCATATAATCCTTACTACATAGCTGTAAACTTTGCGAATTCACCACATAAACTTGTAATTTTCTTACGGGCCATACACCCGCTTTCTTACTGCACTGTAATATAAACTCGCCTCCCACGTTTCGAGAGCTAATACATTCCCGAAAGAAAAGCCCGCCGCTGATTGGTCAATTGGTGTCATGTGCCTAATACATTTTGACACCAATGCTTTGGCACAAAATTTACAACTCGGATGTATCAAAATTTAACTCGGCTCGGTATCGATAGCGAGTTAACTGTGAAACGGGATTCGATAACCGAGAGGTATTTCAATTTTATTTGGAATTTGTTATGCAATCAATATATGAAACAGGTTAACGGTATTGTTCGCATTAGGTCCAATTTAAATAAAAGTTTAAGGTTGTATCCTATAACTGCTTAACGTTGCGTTACATTATAATAAAATAGATTGTGTACTTTTATACACGTAATTTCTTATTCGCATTTAATGCAAATAAAAACGGGAGATCAGAATTTATGACTGAAAATCTATAATTGGCTGAAAAGTTTTACCTTCCCGGTCGACTGATAAAAATATTGCCAATAACATTCTTCATTCACAAATTAAAGAAAATATCAATTATTGTATGATGCTACTTGGGTGATTTGGCAGGAACTCTTCACACATCGGAGTCGATGACAGCCTGAGTGCTACTATACTGAGTGACGGACAGGTGACACACATTTTGTGTGTCCAGACCCTGTCACCGGACACAGACAGGGTGGTAATGTGCGAGGTGAAAGGTCATAACAGGTGACAAATTGACAGTCACGTATTACATCATGATTTGTTTTGGGAAAAAGAAACTTTTTCTGTTTATGATAACAAATTAGGAGGAACCCGAATTATGACGTGTTAACATGTATGAAAACCAGTAAAGTTGTTATTCTAATTAAAAAATAGAAAAAATATAGTCTATTTATTGAAAAGTTCTGAGATATCTTTCAACATTTCATCTAGTTGTTTGAATATTTTTAAATAAAGACAGAAGAAATAGATTCGAATACATGTATAATCAAAACCGAATTAAGATATGCTTCTTAATTTTGTAAACATCCAAGTTAGATGACCTAACTCTATTATTTCCTAACGAACTTATTCCAAGCAACACAGCTTTGTATTCGGATAATAAGATAATCAAAACCCGCGAGTCGGCTTAAAATTTTTAATTAGATAATTTTATACATTAAATAATTCATTTGATTTATTGTTATTGTTATGTATGCGTAATTACAAAAGTGCAATTAAACAATAAATTTAATTGATAAACTCGTTCTTACCATCAAATTAATTGTGTAATAACACAAGTGCAAATACATTTAATTGAACAGTGCTTTACATCTAATTGTGATAGCATATTCAAGTTATTTCCTTTTCTTCCTGTTCGAGGTGGACATTCATATATACCTAGTGCTGTTTTACCTAAATGTCTGAAATCAGATTTTTGTGTGTTTACAGTTCTAAATCGGATTGTTTGTTGTTTTTAAATCCCTGTGACCATAGTTTTGTCATTTTTTTTACCAATATACAAATGTTTTCCTAATATTAAAAAAATGGAATGTGTTGTTTATATAAATACATCGGTTTTAAAATCTAACCAAGCAGATCTGTATTCATTTATAATGTTTAATCATAATATTGATAATCATGAGTGCGCTAGTAGTGTCAAAGTGAACTTAATATCATGTATTGGTTTATACTAAATAACATGTGGGTTTTACAGGTGTTTTTAATAAGCATGATTTAAAAGCAATTTGTAATGTATGATATATATCATAAATGATGTATGACACTATGTTAAACTAGTTTATTATTTTAAACTTAATCATTATATAGAGTGTAAACAGAATGCATAAGAACGTTGATTGGAGCTGACAATGAACCAGTTAATAATCCGCATTTAATTGGTATCATTAATTATATCAATCAGCACACACCGTGGATACGCCTGTCGCTTAAATGTAAACAAAAGTGTATTCACCAAGTAAACACACGAACAAATTATACATATTATTTTGTGTATCATATACAATGGAATTTGTGCGCCAGTTTTTCAACATAAACTAACTTCCCCAACAACAAAAAGGGTGGTCGGATGGTGCAGTACCTTTCACCAAGGCGGCTGGTGTTCGACTCTCCGATCGGACGTGAAAAGGTTGGGGTCCCCTGTCCGGTTACATGGGTTTTCTCCAGGTTCTCCGGTTTCCTCCCACAGTAAAATAAGTAATATTTTGTATAGATTATCAATTATTATCAACGAAGAAAAAAATGGTTCCTTCGCATGGATAGAAAGCATAAAGAGTACTCTAAATAATGGCGGACTCTCTAATATCTGGTTAAACCAAAATCCAATTAATCCAAAGTGGCTTGTTTCAAAAATAAAACTTAACTTGACTGATCAGTTCAAACAAAACTGGGCAGCAATATGCAGAGATTCTCCAAAATCCACCATATACAGAGTCTTTAAGGAAGAAGTCGTGTTCGAAAACTACTTAAATATTCTCTCAAAAAATTATGCTTATACTCTTTGTAGGTTTAGAACCAGAAATAGTAACCTACCTGTAGGACCGGAATTAGGAGTAATATACCAAGACATGAACGTATTTGTCAATTGTGTAATGTAAGAGATATCGGAGATGAATTCCATATATATTTGAATGTCCGGCATTAGATAATGAAAGGAAAATTTCTCTATCCTCTATATTAATTAGACGTCATAGTGTATTATCGCTTATGGTTATAATGTCATCTAAAAGAAAAGCATTCCTGAAAAAATTATGTACTTTTATCAAAAACATTAATTCTGTCTGTTCCCCTGCGTGAAAGTATTTATTATATGTAACTGCAGTACATCTCCGTTTCTATTATACTGTATCCCTCTATATAACCACGCATGCTAATTATTGTACATGAAATCTTTATATTTATATATCAGTATACCATTGTAATGCAAAATCACACTAAGACCCACGCGCGCTAACATCCGGGCTAAATTTCAGTTGAAATAACTTGTTTCACAATTGTTGTAAAATAAAATAAAGCTTTATATTATTTATAAAGCATGATTTTAATTGACGAGAATCCATAGAGAAAAAAAACGTTGATACAGATTTTTTTAAGAGGTGGTGTTCGATCTAGGATCGAGAACTCACTGGCCAGATTTTGAGCTTTGGCCCAAAGAAGGTTTTTTTCTCTGCAAAAAAAAGAGGCTACCAGTTTTTAGGAAGAATTTCTCAACTGTATTTTACTACTAGCTTATAGTTTAGAACTTAGAATCAGACATCTAAGTGATCAAAATTATCAGAGGTTTTTTCTTCATCTAAATAATTCAATATTCTAGAGACTGGGGCCAATCTACCCCAGGACCCGCGATGGCAAATCACTGTCCTTCATTTGGGTGTTTTTAACAAATCACTGTCCTTCATTTGGGTGTTTTTAACAAATCAATGTCCTTCATTTGGGTGTTAAAAACACGATACTCCATGTTGTTAACCAAAGGTATATTCCGTGGAAATCTTTGTAGGTAGAGGATTTTAGATATTCGATACAATAGTACACGACCCGTACTCTGAGCTGTAGGACAAACAGTGCTAATTTATTCCGCGTGTGTTTCCGTGTTCTTTTCACAGTTTTGGGAGGGATAAAAAGAGACACACAGCCGTCCATTAAACCATCACCCCTCCGTGGAGAGGCCATTGGGGTTAAGGTAATCCTTGTTTTCATTCACGTTTTGAAAAGGTTTCCTTGGGAACCAAGAACATGAAGGCTAAGAATTTGATCTCACCCCTTTTCTTTTAGACCAACAAGCCTTGCAGAGACAGGTAATTTGTAAAAGTGCACGGGAAGAACTACCTGCAAACATTAGCAAACATTGACACACAAAGCTGGAATTAATCACCGCACGGCTCCCTTACAAACCAAACGCTTTGAGTCAATATTAGGTCGTTGAGAGTAAGATGATTTTAACAAGACTCGTTTACTGGTGTTGGATTTTAGACACACCTATGACAAGCCATCTTAAAATTCATCAGAAAATCAAGGAGTCATTTTTTAAAATGAGTTAGATGTCTCATTCAATGAAAGACATATCTTGAAAAACAAATATATAAAATATCTATACTATAGTATATATTTGATATATAAAGCCTGTATATATGTAAAAAAGGCTTCCAAGTCAGACATATACATAACGACATACACATAAAGACATACACATAACAGCATACACATAACAACATACACATAACGACATACACATATACACATAACGACATACACATAACGACATATACATAACGACATATACATAACAACATACACATATCAACATACACATAACAACATACACATATCAACATACACATAACAACATACACATAACAACATGCACATAACGACATACACATAACGACATATACATAACAACATATACATAACAACATACACATATCAACATACACATAACGACATACACATAACGACATATACATAACAACATATACATAACAACATATACATAACAACATACACATAACAACATACCCATATCAACATAAACATAACGACATACACATAACCACATACACATAACAACATACACATAACGACATACACATAACGACATACACATAACAACATACACATAACGACATAAACATAACAACATACACATAACGACATACACATAACAACATACACATAAC